GTATACTTCGCAGTGATAATGTGAAGGAATATTTTTCCACTCCATTTAATACCTTTATGGCTAAGTCTGGTATTATTCATCAGTCCTCTTGTCCTCACACTCCACAACAGAATGGAGTTGCTGAAAGAAAAATTGGATATTTAATCGAGGTTGCTCGAACACTTTTGTTGCACATGAATGTGTCCAAACAATTTTGGAGTAATGCAGTTCTAACTGCATGTTATTTAATTATTTAAGTAATCACATGCCATCTAATATTCTTGGAGGTCAATTACCTCACTCCATTCTTTTTTCTCATGAACCTGTGTTTAAATTACCTTCTCGCATTTTTGGATGTGTGTGCTTTGTTCATCAGCTTGCTCCTGGGGTGGATAAATTAGATCCTCGTGCTATTAAGTGTATTTTCTTAGGATACGCACGAGCGCAAAAGGGGTACAAATGTTACAGTCCAATTTTAAATCGATCTTTTATTTGTGCTGGTGTTACTTTCTTTGAATCCACTCCATATTTTATGAAACACGGTATGCCTTGTGAGTTAGACCAGTGTCCCTCTTTTTTCTCTCCTATTTTACCAATTACTTCTTCTTTATTACCTGAGTTATCTAGTCCACCAGATTCACTAGGTCGATTATCTCGTCCCAATCTTTAAGTTTATTCTCGTCGTTCCATGGTTGAGAAAGCTCTTGATATGCCAGGCACTTCACCAATCAACTCTCAATTTTCAAATCCAGATATAACGCTCTCTTTAGAGTTAGATCTTCCTATTGCTTTATGCAAAGGTAAGAGGCATTGCATTTCTCATCCTATTTCTAATTTTATTTCTTATTCTCGTCTCTCTATGTCATATTCTTCTTTTGTTGCTTCCCTTGATTCTATCTCCATTTCTAAGTCTATTACCCATGCTCTTAATCATTCTTGTTGGAGATTAGCTATACAAGAAGAGATGTCTGCTTTGGAGAAAAATGGTACTTGGGATCTTGTCCCTCTTCCTTCTGGTAAGCCGGTTGTTGGTTGTACATGGGTGTATACTATAAAAGTGCAACCTAATGGTTCTATTGATAGATTGAAGGCTCGTTTTGTAGCTAAGGGATTTACTCAGGTGTATGGAATTGACTACTTAGAAACATTTTCTCCTGTTGCAAAGATTACCTCTGTTCATCTTCTTATCTTTTTGGCAGCAACTTATAATTGGCCATTGCATTAGTTGGATGTGAAAAATGCATTTCTTAATGGAGATTTGAAAGAAGAGGTATATATGGAACAACCTCCTGGATTTGTTGTTCAGGGGGAGAATTCGCGGTTGGTTTGTCGTTTGAAAAAATCCTTCTATGGATTGAAACAGTTTTCGAGGACTTGGTTTGATCGGTTTAGTAGTGTTGTCATGGAGTTCGGTCTGACAAGATGTGGAGTAAATCACTCTGTATTTTATTGGCACTCTAATGTTGGTAAAATTTTATTAGTTGTTTATGTGGATGATGTTGTGATTACAAGTGATGATGTTGTGGGGATCCAAAAACTTAAATCCAATATGTAGGCAAACTTTCAGACAAAGGATTTAAATCATCTACAGTATTTTCTAGATATTGAGGTAGATCGATCTAAATATGAAATTTATTTATGTCAAAGAAAATATGTACTCAATATGCTGAGTGAAGTTGGGATGTTAGGTTGCCGACCTGTGGATACTCCAATGGATCCTAATGTGAAATTAGTAGGAGATCAAGGTGCATTACTAGATGATTCTAGACAATAGCGAAGACTTGGGGGTAAACTAAATTATCTCACTGTAACGAGACCTGACATTTCATTTGCAGTAAGTGTTGCCAGTCAATTTCTTGATACCCCTCGTACTAGTCATTGGAATGCTGTTATACGGATTTTCAAGTATCTTAAGAGTGCTCCTGAAAAAGGTTTGCTGTATCAAAATCATGGATACACTGATATTGATGGATATAGTGATGCAGATTGGGCTGGTTCTGCCTCAGATCGAAGATCAATCACAGGATATTGTGTGTTCGTTGATGGTAATTTAGTGTCATGGAAGAATAAAAAACAAACAGTTGTCTCCAAATCAAGTACAGAATCGGAATACCGTCTATGGCTCACACTGTATGTGAGTTGGTTTGGTTGAAAAGCATGTTACTTGAAATTGGGTTTGAGCATAAACAGCCTATGAATTTAGTGTATGATAATTAGGCGGCTGTTCATATTGCTTCTAATCCAGTGTTTCATGAAAGAACAAAACATATTGAAGTTGATTGTCATTTCATTTGAGAAAAATTGCTTGACGGAATTATTAAGACAGCTCATGTACTGTCTGTAGATCAATTGGCTGATTTGTTTACTAAGAGTTTAGGGGGCTCTAGGGTGAGATATATTTGTAACAAATTGGGTGCTTATGATATATATGCTCCAACTTGAGGGGGAGTGTTAAGAGAATATAAGTATTCTTGTAGATAATAAATTAGTAAGGGTATTTTTGTAAATAGTTTGTTAGGTTTGTACTCCTATAAATATTAGTTAGTCACTCATAATATGGAGACAAGATGTTTTTCCTCTCAAAATACTTGTTGTCAAGTTCTTCTTCTAATCCACTCAAATAGCTTGAAACAAAATAACTTTCACTCAAACCAGAATTTTTGAGCAGCATTATGTCCCTCAACTCCGCAAATTTCTCCTGATAGGCCATTACTGAGGAAGTTTGCCGCAGTTTGTTAAACTCCTCTACCCCATCTTCATCACCAAGGGTTCCAAATCTGCGATTCACACCTTCTTTGAATTCCTCCCATGCTAACATCCTTTTATCTCTTTTGAAGCTTTGAAACCAAATATTGGCTCTCCCTTCTAAATGCATTTCTGCAATCAAAATCTTCTGCGAATCCGAGATGCCATACAGATGGAAGAAAGTCTCACATTTCTGGATCCGGTCTCGCACTTGCTCTCCTGAGAACTTAGGAAACTCCAGCTTGGGTACTCCAGGAATAAAGGCATTTCTCTCTCCTCTATCTTGATTCATCTGCCCTTGCCTGGAGTTGCGTTGCAAAGATCTCGGGGGAGTGGCCAGAATTCCTCTTTCCTGCTGAGAATTCCTGTTGTTTCCTCCAATCTGTGCAGCAATGCTGGCTATGAGAGCCTTTAATTCTGTAGAATTAGCCACCATCTTCTCTTCCATGGATTTCAGAGTCTCGCTGGTAGAGTCCATGAAAGTTTGCAATCTGGCCTCCTGCTTCTTGACCTGCTCTTCAATCGTTTTGAGACGTGTTCCTTCTGCCATGGCTGTGAATCAAGCTTCCTAATCCAAGGATCGGAAGCTCTGATACTACTGTAACGAGTGCTGCAATTGCAGCAGAATGAGAGAGAGATAAGAAAGAGAGAAACTAGACTTGAGGAAGAAGAAAGAGAGATATTATTCAAATGAACTTTCCATGCCTGCCCCATCCCGCCTCTGCATTCTTATACAGCTCAAAAATAACAGAATAACTACCTGATTGCTGACTCAGCATAACAGCCTAACGAACAGGGAAGATTCCCTCTAACTACCTGAAGGAAATACATTTCGCATTTGTCAAAAATATCTTCTGATCTAGTGTCATTACAGTTTATGGGTCTTTATAAACGTCTTCTCAAAACATTCTAAATTATCATAACAAGAGGTGAGCTCCATGGAGCATGGAAAAGAATTTTGGAACTAGGGTCGGACGGGGAAGGATGGTGGCTGGGGAAGGCTGGGGAAGGAGCAGCATTAAAGGAGAAGCATAATGAAATTGGTAATTTGGGATGGGGAATGAAAATGGGGAGCTACCAGGACACTGCTGGACCATAGGATGATGAAGAAGGAAGAAAGTTGATGGGTCAGAGGAAAAGAGGATGAAGGGAGTTGCTGGGGGTCGGTGATGTGAAGGGTTGGTGTGGAAAGGAGATAGATACATGAACAGTGGACAATAAGAAAAGGAAATTGGCTAAAAAGTTGTTTTTAATGTTGGGTTGATCAGCGCTTTTGCACTAAACCAACTGATTAGGATGTTTTCCTTCCATGTACCATTTTGTACAAAGCACATAGGGGTAAACAACAGAATTTTGATAATTAAGTTAAGTGTATGCCTTATCATGTGAGTATCATGATAATTACTCAACTTGAAAAATTGTTTTATAGTAGAAAAATAAAGTGGGAAATATATGTAAAAGTCGAAGTGCTATTACTTGGGATGGCCATGCTAACTCATTTGAATTTTGCTCAAAAGTTGAAATGGGTAGTACTTGGGGAAACTAGGTTTCTTTTGGTGTAATCCTTGTGTTAATTTAAATTATGTAAAAGAAGTGGACAGTATTTTGGTTCTTGCACAAAGCAAAATGTGGATAAGGAGTTTGATCTGTATTTCAACATAAGAAGAGCTTTAAGAAAGAGGTCTAGCGAAATTCATATGGGGGTCTTTTTGGAGGGACATTGAGGCAGTGTAAGATTCTGGTGCATGGTTTGTACATAACCTGATGAGGCTTTTATGCTGTGATAGCTGATTTATCAGTCATTCCAGTCCAGGATTGCTCTGATAAATAACTTGTAGCCATTTTTGGGTAAGAAGTTGTGCAGAGATTATGCATTGTGTAATAATCAAACAGCGGTTGGGTTGCATCTATCTAGTTGTGTACTTGAACTAGCATATTGAAGTTTTGTGAAAGAGAAGCTGCTCAAAAGCGATTAGGACCTCCCATATGAGGTCCATTGGTCAATTATTAGCTGTTTTATTTTTGCCAAAGGTTAGGGATTCATGGTTTCACAAATTTGGAGACTGGTGAATGAATTCCAACCTGAGGGGTAGAATTAAGACAGAAAATTAGGGTATTATTATATCTACTATATCTGTACTACTACTACTATAAATTCTGCTACGTCAACACCAAATTGGTGTAAATTGCAAGTTTTTTGACATGCTTTCAGCTAGTTAAACCAGAATTTCATAATTTTGGTTCCTGACCCATGTCAATTTGTTGTTTTCTTGCAGAGAGGAAATACACTAAATGGTCACTCAGGGTGATTAGCGTACATGGAGAAAAGGCTCCATTGTCATTCATTAAATCGGTTGAGGTTTTGTCCAATTTTCTATTGTTAAAAACTGTATTTCCAATTGCACCATTGAGTCTGCTATTGTTTATTGTATGCATCAAATGCTTCCCCAGTTTTTTCTTCTTACCGAACAAGGAGCCATGGTTATTATTGAAACAAATTTGTCCTTTTGTCCATATCCAGATATCATTCCCTGACAGGCCAGAACTAAAAGTAGCTGTACTCCAGAAACAACCATTTGTACTGAAAAGGTATATTATTGCAATGACTTGTATTGAATTGTCATGGCATCATACTGTAAGCTTCTTCATTTCATGTTCTAATGCTGCCATGATGTTCCTAGGATGTAATCTCCGGCCTACAAACATGGGCATTTGCTACGTTGAATTTGTTTGAAGTTTCTGTTAACTAAAATTTGTGTCAGTCATATAAATGATTTTACGTTAGATTGGCTATGTATATTAATCATCTATAGGGTACAATGTTTTTCGTGATTTATTGATTATTCTTACTTTGTCTTCTCTAACCAAAAAAGCCTTGTTGCTGTCTCTTTTATCTCTTTTTTTTTTTCACTTGCTTTTTGCTGGACTTGTTGCTGTAATTGACACTGCAGGGAAATGCTTTTAAGACCACTTGACATACTGTTGAAGATCAACCTCAGTGATGGCTGTGGGTGTCAGTTTGTCAACATTGATTTCCCGGTGAATTTCGAGGTGAAAACTGTGATGTTTTTACCATTGTCTCTCTTTCAGAATATAGTTTTGTCTCGAGTGTTAATCTTAGCTGGCTGAAATCATCAAGGTATTAGCATGCAACTATGGTACATTTGACTTGTATTGTCTGGTTGGACTTCTTAAAAAATATAAGCGATCACTGTGATTACCAGGCTTTCATTTGACGATGTATTATTAGATTTCATACCAGATGATGAGCTTTCTGAGTCTGTGTGCTACAATTGGATAATCAAAGCACAAAAAGTTATTCTATTTGAATCATGAGTATGACTAATGCACATTATTCACATCATTGTTACCTTTGGGGTTTCCTTTCCACTTGTTTGAGGAATGCTTTCATCATGCCATGCAGGAGTCCTCTGGTTGTGTCAATTTAGACAAAGATAAGGTGATTCAGAAGCTTAAAGATGTAACAGTCCAAGATCAATGTTGTGGTAAGTTTTCGGTGATTGAGAGGAAGAACGTTCCAGGCCAGAAAAAGGAACTGTCCACCTATGCTGTGGTAACGAACATAGTTAAATATGGAGCCATCGCACCGATTGCAAAATTGTCTGTAGTCAATACAGTTGCCAAGAGATCAAAAGAAAAAGTTGATATCAGGAGTGATGACTGTTTGATGGCGAGCTGTGAAGGTGAAGGGACCATGAAGAAGTTGAGAGTTCAATAACTCTGCTGTTAGGATTTATATTTAGAACTGTCTAGTGTCTACAAGGATGGATGGTGGACTCTATGGATGTCTGGGAGTCTGCATGGTGGATGCAACATGGATGGACTCAAATGTGATGGTAGAGTTCAAGTGCATCTAGGGTGCTGAAAGAAGGTCTCTTTAAATGTGAATATCTAGCTAGAGGTTTGTCATTCTTGGAATCTTTGAAATATGTTTTCCTTTTACAAATTTTGAGATTTTAGAATCTCATGAAGCTCACTAAAACTCTTTGCATTATGTTTGTTCAGCATCCTGAAGTTAGTCGGATTATATGTTTGATGCCGTTTCAACATTTATCGACTTAGTCTTATATAACCATTCTATAGAGATGTATCATAAGATAATTTTGTTGGACCCTGAAAGTTCTAGTGTTATGTTATTCACATTTTCGTTGCTTGTGTCATTGGAACATGATTTAGTTTGGTCTTCGTTACTTGATAGATTATTACTACTATAATCATTGTTTACTTCTATAAGGTTCCACAGAAATCTGTTTTACCTGTTTAGTGTGACTTTCCACAGTAAGTATTGTGAGCACTGAATATTGAACTTACCGTGATGGAGAACGGAGAATTAAGCTGTCTAGGATGTAGAAGAACTTGCCAAACCTTTTAAATGGATGCTATATCATAAAAGGTTAAAACTGTAGTTTACCAGCAGTCCAACGATTTTTCATTTGCATACTTTTGCTGTTTGTCAGGCAGGAAATTAGAAACTGGAATACTTAAAACCATAAAGGGTCTAGAAGATAAATCTAGAAGATAATTCAGAAGACCTCACGAAACAAAAACTCTGAAGTTCCCGGAGCCATGGTAAGAGCCTAAATGCTTGCAAACTGCACAACTATAGAATGTACCAATCTAGTGGGAGACCACTGACATTTGAACAATTCATATTAGCCTTCTGGAGAGGTTAATATTTTATAAGGTAGGTCGAAGTATGGTTGACGCTAGCTATAAGCTAGCTGACCTTGCAAGAGCATCGACTTTTGTGCTTGGAATTTTAGATGCACAACAGTGTGTGTGTGAACTGTCGATTGTTATTAGCTATTCGAAGTACGGATAGACTTGAAAGCAAAAATTATACTGGATGGTAGCATTTTGCCCCTTGAAAGTCTTTAGCACGCTCTTGGTACTGATCAAGAGGTTTCAGGATCCTATACGCCAGAAGACTCGTCACTTGTTCTCTTATAGCTCTTGATGATTGATAATAGGATGCAGGGGAGATTTTGTGGAAGGTAAAACCTGGCTAAATGGGACCTTGGCATCCCAATTTACATTTTTTGTATATTTGCAGCATATTTTCCTTTCTTCTCCGAACCCTTTTTCTTTTATCTGTAATCAAAATGGAGAGAGGAACATTTTCTTCGAATGCCCATCATAATTTTAGTTTTACTGGTATGCCCTTTTTCCTGGTACTTTGTGATCACTTGTTGCCAGCTTCTGAACTGCTAACGTTATCTTACTAAAGCTGCAGACGCTCTTGCATGAAACTCTGAAAATGAATGTGACAATAAGCGTGCATGTTGCATCTAATCAATTCCAGTTTCTCTTCTTCAACATTTAATAGAACTATAGAAGTCATTGAGTCTTCAGTGGAGTTATTAAGCAGTTCTACATTGAACTGATTGTAATCTTGTCACATCTTTTATATTTTAATCTGAATCTCAAATCAAGAAATCAATGTTCAATATATTACAAAACGGTATTTATTAAGTGGTAACTGTGTGTACATGTCAAATATAACCACTCAAAACCTAACACAAATATGGACTACTAGTACAGGACCCACCCAAAAAAAAATAAACTAGTAGTAGTATTAATAAAGGGACAATACTTAGTAATGATAGTTATGATAACAAAGCAAATTTAACAGGTTGTTGCACTTTTAGCAATTGTTTAATTACTTGTTGGATTTATCCAACTAAATAGGATAATACGTAAAAATAAGGAAGTAAGTTTCTCATTTAAAATAGTAAGTTAATGTAATAAATTAGCAATTTTTATACCTCAAAAGGTAAAATGGAATAGATATAAAACTTAATTTTTAAATAAATAAATTACTACTTTATATATCAAACTTACTTTTTAGAGAGCAAGTTTATTTCAAGGTATAGTATGTTTTTATACATAAATAGTAATTCTTACTAATAATATGGAAAATTTTGATTAATGGTCAAAACTTACTAATTTATGGCACAAATGTACTATTTTGCATTAAAAACTTATCTCAAACTAGTATTAGAAAATTTATTTGAAATAATGATAAGATGTTTTAGTAAGGGGAAAAAATTCCCAATGACTCTTCAACTCTTTCTCAGGTAAGGTTTTAGCTCTCAAACAATTAACGATAAAGTTTTGGCCCTCGATCTAATAAAACGGCATATTTGTAGCTCTTTTGTCTAACCCAACAGTTAAAATTGACGAAAAACATCATCTCGCGAGACGCACGATCAAATATCAAGGGCATTATAGTCTCTGAGCAAAGAAAGAAAGAGTAAAAACACTTTCAACACTGATTTTCCCTCTAACAATTTCCACCCCTTTTGCTCCAAAACCCTAGTGCGAAAAAATCAGACTACTCAATCCGGATGCTGCAGGAAAAGTGCTAATTGCCGAAGTAGGAGGGGTTGTAAAGGCAAAAATGGAGTGGCGAATATGGAGGAGAGACGACTACTTTGATCCGTACCGCGTTTACGATAATTGAAAATCTTGTTTAGTAATCCATTTGGGTTTAAGATTTATTTATATGAATGTGTAATGAAACTTATTTGTGTATATATTTGGGTAATGGTGATGTCGGGAGACTAGGTGGTCCAATTTGTGGTCCTACTTTGTTTGTTGTAAATTGACAATGTCAGACAAAGGGGGTTTGTTTGAAAGTGATGTATTTTAATGGCTAAAAAGGGACAACTTTATTTCTTCAGGATCTTTTTTTTTTTTTTTTTGGCTGAATTTGACCAATTCAGTATTTCATTTGTCAACCTTTATGTGTTTTGTCGTTATGTTGTTGACTATTTTATCCCAATTGCCATTGTAGAGCCTGATTCTGAATGGTTTACTATTTGGATGCATCATGGGGGTAGAATTATGTGGGAACAGTATGTATGGTATGCTAATGGAGAGGTGGACTATGTAGATGTTTGTGATGCCGAAAGAATGTCAGCCATTGAACTAAATAAAATGGTGGAGAAAAAGGGACATCGTAAAGTTGCCATAATGTACTACTACCTTGAACCAAATAAGGATCTAACAAATGGTTTGAGAGAGTTGTGCACCGATGATGATGTTAACAAATTTTGGGCTTGGACTTATAAGTACAAGGTAATGGAAGTCTATTGTAACCATCTAACAGTTGAAGAAATTAATAGTTGCAAGTCTCCCATAGTGGTTCAACCAGCACAGTAGAAGAAGAGTGGTGTTTTGATAACAGAGTTGGATGAGGAGGGTAGTATAGTAGGGGAATCTTTTTCTCATCTAGGTCCTAAGAGGAGGCTGTTCATTAGGGATTCAACTAGAGGACAAAGTGCTGGTAGAAGAACAGCCAAGAACCAGCAGCATAATGTAGATTGTAGTGATGCACGGGCTTTTAAAAACCAGAATTTCGATGTAGATGGTTTAAGTGGAGAACAAAGTGGTGATGCACAAGCATCTAATCATGAGCAGCAACATGTAGGATCCTTAAATGGAGGACAAAGTGGTGATGCACAAGCGTCTAATAATAAGCAGCAGCATGTAGGTTCCTCAATTGGAGGACAAAGTGGTGATGCACAAGCATGTAATAACCAGCAGCATGTTGGAGAAACAGATACACAACAAGAAGAAAGGAGCTGTCAACAACCCATTGAAGATGAAGGACATAGAAGAGATGATATTGATTCTGGATCAGAAAATGACTAATAGATTCAGTGGTGATGTAGAATATTGTAGATGTAGACACCAAAATTTTACCATTTTTATTTTTCCTATTTTTGTTCCTTTTAGTTAAATTTTATTTTATTTTGTTTTGTTTCTGTTTCGTGAGGAAAATCATTTTTAGAAAAAATCGAAAAAAAGGAAAGAAAAGGCAAAGCAAAAAATTCAAAAATAAAAAAAATCAACAAAATTAAATCAAATCAAAAGAAGAAAAAATGGAGCCCAGGCGTGCATGCAATCTTCGTACAAAGAAGAAGCAGAAACAGTACAAGATTTTGCAGCAGCAATTTGGATCCCATTTCCACCCATTTTCTCGCATTTTTGTTTCCCTTTAATCCCTTCAGTACAATGCCAACTCATCTTAGTTGGAAATATCAGGAAAATTCCAGAATTAAGAGCCATCTATGGCTCAAAGTTTGCCAAGAAAGTGCAGCAACTCTTCACCATTAATCTTAGGTTTTGAAGGGGTGTTTTGTGCCTATAAAAGGTTCATAAACGAAAGAGAGTAGGAAGGGCGGCGGAGCAAGAAAGAAAGAGAAAGAAAAACAGCAAACGAAGAAAAAATAGAGAGAAAGAAAATTTTTCTGCAAAAAAATTATTTCCGACCAAGGCTGACTTTTCAGCCGTGTTGTGACCAAAATTTCTCTATCAATATAGCTTATTTTGAGAAGATTTCAATTTCTTCGCAAACAAGGGAGTTTGGGGAAGGAGGTTTGTTAAGAAACTTTTCATAGAAAACATTGGGAAAGGCTTCGAATTTGCTCCCCAAAACTGCAACTCCGTTTGACTGATACGCTTGCAAGTTTGCGAAAAAATCCCATAGGAATCATCGTCTGCTTGTTCCTTTTGCTTCAACCTCGTTCAAGATTCATCCTCAGGTAATCATAACTCCACTTCTTATTCCTTCTAATTCATGCATGAAGCAAAATCCATGAAATCTATGCCTTTTGGGTTATTACTGCTTGGAATGACTTTGCACCTCAATGGATAACTTTGTCTGGGGTTGGATGAATGTGGTTTACTCAATGTTTTGATGCAATAGAGGAGGATAAGATGTACAAATAAATCTGATTGGGGCTATTTTTTTCTCTTGGTCATGCATGTTTGTCCTTTTTTTTCCTTTCTCGCGTTGCCTTGTTCTTTCCTGTCTTTGCATGTTCATGTCCCATAACCTTTTTCTTTTCTACTAAAGTTAGGTAGTTTAGTTGATGTTTTTGGTAATTATGTTACAAGGTTGGGAATGGTTTCGACTTGGTTTATTCCCTAAAAAAAAAAAGGCCGTGGTTTGGAAGTTGCTTCGTAGAAGATGCATGATAACTTCTAAAATTTTCATTTTGACCCCTAACTTTTGCATAATTCTACTATGGCCCAAAAAACTTCTGCTATCAATCAATTTTGCCCCTTCTAAGTTTTAATCCTCTTTTTCATGTGTTAAGTAGGTTTTTGGGCAGAATAATTCTAAACTCTAGGGCGTAATTAGGGTTCAATA